TCTGTCTCATCCTTGTTTCTTTCTCTGCTACTGTACATAGATGCTGGTGCAAAGGAACCCAAAGCTGAAAGAACAATCTTGGCTATGTCAGAAGCATCAGCCTCAACTGGGAAAAAGTGACATGTGATCTCAAATGGTCAAGTCAAGACTGCAAACATTGCAAAAAAGGCCAAGAATTATATTCCTCCCAAAAATGATTCATCCACATCTCATCACAGCTATGATCTCACCTTCAAGATGGAAGTACTTGCCTGGCATCATCAAGGCTGAAAGATTCAGTGTGAAACAGCACACCACTTCAACATCAAACAGTCAACAATCAGCTGGTGGCTCAAGGACAAAGACAAGATCCAGAAGGACTCACATATCAATGGAGGTGCCATTTGTAAACAACACATGGCACAATATCCTGAACTTGAGCAAGCACTGTATCACTGGGTGATCAAGGCCCAGGAGCATCACGTCCCAGTAAATCATGAGATGATACAAATGAAGGCTCACCATTTCTCTGCCATCCTTGGAATTGAAATGAAATTCTCCAATGGATGGATGACAAAATTCAAGAAATGTTACAACATTTGCAAAGTCACCCTCCATGGTGAAGCTTCATCAGTGAACCCAGATGATGTGGCATCTGCACATGCTCAGCTCCTGGAAATAACCAAGGATTACAAGCCTCACAACATTTAAAATGCTGATGAATCTGGCCTATGTCATCAGTAAGTCCTCCTTTCCTTCTCCTCCTCCCAATTGATTTTTGATTCGATCTTGAGCTTCATTCTTTTTTTTCTTAGCATACCACCAAATAAGGTGTTAGCAACTGAACAGAAAGCTGGTGTGAAAGGTGATAAATCTCAAATCACATACCTCCTTTGTGTAAATGCCAATGGGACCCACAAGCTTGATCCTTTGGTAATTGGGAGTTCAGCCAAGCCAGCTCACTACTACAGTTTTCAATACACTTCCAACAAAAACACTTGGATGACTGGACGGATATTTGGTGATTGGCTGCAAAAGCTTGACTATGTTTTGCAAAGAAGGCTGAAAGATATCACTTTTGCTTGACAACTTTCCCAGTCACAAGCACCTGTCAAAACCCTCAACTTGAAAAATATAGATGTATATTTCATTCCTCCCAACCTCACCAGCCATCTTCAGCCCTGTGATGCTGGGATTATAGCTGCCTGGAAAGCTCACTACCAATGTGACACAATCCCCCTGGTCATTTCAAATTATGAAGACAATCCACAGATGTCAGCTAAGGAAGTCTACTGCCTTTCACTCCTTGATACCATGCAAGTGGCTGATTCATCCTGGAAACACATCTCTTGCAAGACAATTTTGAACTGCTGGAAACACACACAAATCATTGCTGCACTCAACCAACAGCCTCCTTCCTCTTCTACCCCAGCCGATCACAATTTAGCTTCTGATCCTGAGCTTCAAACTGTAATTGATGAAGCTTTGATCATTCTCAAGAAACTCAAGTGGTGCAAAGGCCTAGATGAAAGTTGTTCTGAAGTCCAAATGAGTATTCAAACCCTCTTGAATCCCAAGATTGAATGCAACTCACCTGACAGTAATACACCAATGCCAACTGACACCAAAATTATCCAAGCTACCACAACCAAGTCCAATCCAGACACTTCTGAAGAGCCTGAAGATGAACTTGAGGATCTTGGTGATGTCACTCATACACCAAGTTCTATGACTGAGATTTCTATTGCCATTGACAACATTATACATGCTCTCAACTGACAGCCTTGAGATGCTGATGAGCCAGAGTGGAGCTCTCACATCAAAGCTCTACATGGTCTTCTCAATGACATCAACCAAGTCCGCTTCCATTTACTCAAGCAGAAGTGCCTCACTGATTTTTTTGACCCTGAAATTTTCAATGAACCTTCTTAAAAGATGCTTTTGTGCTTTTTTTTTGTCAAGCTTGAAACCTTTTTAAGCCCCACCTGTCATCCCTATTCCTACCTATTCCAATTAAAAAAACTGACTGATATCAAAGTTATCCAAATGTGAGCATAGGGTTTTTTTTTTTTTAAGTGCAGTTTTGTATTACATAACACACCAGATGAGAGACCACTACATGACATAATTCAACTGCAATGTCAGAAAATGTAGACTTGTTGAGAGAGAGAGAGGATTGTGACATGGAAAAAAAGAATCTATTGAAATCCACTTTTAAAAACATCCTGCTACGATCACATTATGCTTACATGCTTATTTTGAAGTGATGCATCGTACAATATAAGGGTCACAAAAATTCAACCTAGAAGGTTGCTTATAGAAAGGGTAGACTGTATGTAACTATATGTTATTATTACAGAAATGACAACTACATGTAAAATTACATATAGTTACATATTACAACTAAGACAGAGGAGTTGTAATTAGTACTGTAACATAAGATTGAACATGTTACTATAAACAATACATAAATTAACCATATGTAAACCACTTGTTATTATTTTAGCATTGGAAACTATGGGTAAAATAACCTATAGTTACATATCACAGGAAACACTGAAAAGACATAAGTCACACTGTAAACCATGTGTAAATATGTTACACAAGCGCATACACTTATAACGGATAAGTATTAAGTGTAATATTATTGTAGATTTGGATTCTACGGACCAAATAACCTATAGTCTCATTTTAGAGTTAAGTGATAACTCTATTAACTAATTAAGTACCAATACAAACAATATATTTCGAAGAAATGTACTGTACTTCAATACAGAATAGCTAGTGTAGTTTTAGAGCTACAGTTGAAATAATGACAGTTTTATTAATTAAACACATGTTTTACACCGAGGAACTGTCATCAAATGTACTGTAGCTGTACTAGTGGCATGTTTAATACAGTACTGTTGATCATAGACAGATCCTCAAGCAATATAAAGGATTACACATATGTGATGACTCTAGTTCTAGGTCTTTACACTTAGTGTATTTGCGTATCTGATAATACCGCAAAACTTTGATTATGAGTGCGAAGTAAATGCTTTTATTAAGAAGAAAATGTTTCGATAAAGAGAAAAGAAAAAGACTATCCACCAAACATGACTTATATATACTATGTACATTATCTACTCTTAGTTACATGTTTTCTGCGCATGTCGATCTTTTTGGTGTGCCTTTGTCTTGGTAACCTGTACATGATCTCCTAGTAATCGTTGTCCAAGTATACTTGTAAATATACTTGCTAACGTGCTATAAACATATGTTACTATCAACGTTACTCAGTCGGAAAGAACCATTAGGAACCCATCATTACAACATAGTTGAATCATTGACAGATCATCTATTTGATATGTAATTCCACCTCGAGGGTGACAAACACACGCATGTGAACCTCATAGTTATACGAAACGTTAAGTGTACGGTAAGCTTCTCGGGACGGTCGGTGAGCGGGAACACAACAGATGATGAGGATCCCGCTCTCCGACCGACCTCGAAGAGTCTAAAGTGTCGCTGTGCCGCAGTTGTGTGACATCCCGACTTGTGACACTCCGATGTGGACACCCTAGTCTACAACAGTAGTCGCCAGGGTTTCGGCCACCAAAATTGGTTCGATGAATTTCCCATGACCTCGGAAAATCTGATTACCATGATATTCTAAATGGAGCTTTCTTTTCATTCAAATCGGCATTGATACAAATCGGTGATGACTGATCTGAAGGAGTTCCCATCTCATCCATTCCTTCCTTCCTTCACTTTGGTGTAGAGTGCATGTAGGGACTCGAAGGGCTGTTTGTCAGGTCAGAACACCAAATTGGGAGTCCTGATACCTGACCACAGGTTATATTTGACCTTCTTCGGTGGGGTCACTGACCTGAACAAGTACTGTAGGGTTTTACAACAAGGCTGGCATCTACTGGCATCTGTGCACACATGTTTGGTGCTATGAAACAATGTCTTGTGCATGCAAAGACAATTGTGATCCCTTTCAAAACCATCTCACATGCCCAAATGGTCAAAGAACAGCAACGGGCATAGGTGATCAACCAATGGAGCATCAGTTTCTACTCGATTCCATTGGTTGAGAATCACCTACGAATCAGACTTTATTTCTGACCTAGGACTAATCGATTGTTTTTGGCTCGAGAGTGCAAACCTTTTTGCGGAAAATCACCTTTCATGGCCTCTGGCCACTGATAGAGCAAAGATTCAGTTCACCTTCAAAGATGAAAAAAGGTGGGCCTGAATCTGGTCTTTTTATCCCTCCAAAGAAATCCCAAGGAAGTCAAATTCCATGCTTGTAAAAAAAAAAAAGAAGAAGAAGAAGGGCTAGCTCACATTTGAAGAGTATCTCAAAGCTCTCATCCCGACCCCAAAGTGCGCTGATCTCAACTCTTGAAAGCGAGGTGATCTGAAACCTTTCCCTACCTTTGAAGTGAAGAAGCATTCTGAATCTGTTGCTGAATTTGGTCTTTGTTCTTCAAATTATTGTCATTTTGAATGAAAACCAATTCTGCCTTCTAAATAACAATGAATTTCTCACTAAGGATTTGTAGATGAACAACTTCATTGAACAAATCTGTGGAACCATCTGTGAGGGATCTTTTCAAACTATTAATTCCTTTAGGATTGTTCCTCAAATAAAAGACAAAGCTTTCTTCATCTACAGTGAAATTGAATTCCATAATCAATTTTTGAAGTGCTGTACCAGATTTCTCATTTTCTGCATAAATGTGATGAAGCAGCTCTGTATTGGCTGAGACTTCTTCATGGTAGTAGAAACATTTTGAAGGCTAATACAAACTGTGACACAGCCTTCTCACAAATAAAGAGCATCAACAGGAACCACACAAGGAGACTAGCAGCACCTATTTTTCTTCATACCTTGATTCATTCAACTTAACACCGTAAAAAAACAAGAACACAAGACACTCATCAAGTATGGGAGTTTTATGAAGGTAATCTTTGGCTTGGCTGAGGCAAAAAAAAACTCACGCACAAAAAAGGTGCTTGATAAAAGGAAACACCTCCGGCGGGGCTCGAACCCGCAGTCTTTGGATTGCAATGGAATGCTAGAAGTCCAACGCGTTACCATTACGCCACGGAGGCGATGGACGCGTCTCGGTACTGGCAAATTTATCATGGCGTGACGAGCTGATCACAGAGGTACAGGCTGCTATGGTACACACCATTTAAGAGCATCAAGTCTGTAAGGGTTTTTAAAGCCTTTTTTTTTGGAAAAAACGACACAGGGCTGGACCAATGCTTTATATCACTCCACTTGACCGGTGCTCAGTATGCTAGCTTGTGTTTTGAGTCATGGAGGGTTTGGATGCTGAATTGTGACTCAAATGAGGCCAAAATATCTTTCAACAATAATTTCTGGTCGCGAGTTTTTTAAATTGTAAAACAAGTGGCTGGAAAGTTTTGAAGGCAAAGATGTGAGCAGGATATATGACTTGGGCTTCTAAATGAAGGATCGATATCTCATGCGACAGCTTCAGTCTGAAAGTACATCTGACATGACAACACCATTGCAGTCAAACCAAGCGGACCATAGCTGCTTAGGTCTTGTAGTGCAGGACACAAAGAAGTTTTGTTTAGTGAAAACTAATGCCTACCCATGAAAGCAAGAGTTGGTACTCTGACATTGCGTTTGAAGGTTGCATGTTTACCACCGAATACCTCAAAATGATACTGTGCCCCATTTTGGACTGAGGATCATTCTGCAACCCAGTCCCACATGTAGAACAGTTCTGCACTCCTCGGATACACCCATAGGATTTTGCTTCAATCACTGTTGTTGATGCAACGATTGTCGTTTCACTCTACTAGTCTGTTTTGGTACTCTCTGAGCCATTTTGAGTTTAGACTCACACTCTCGAGCTCTGAGAGTTGGGTGCGTTCAGGTCCGCTTTCCTCAGTTTGTAGAATGTCACTTCAACGGCTGGAGAATGGTGGATATCAAATGAAAAAAACATGCCTAGCAAGGTAGAGAGGGACCAAAAATGGTATCACTCAACAGGCAAATATGAGGCTGCGTTTTCCAAACAGTCACTTCACCCTTCGATTGGAAGCTGTCATGATATATATTTGTTCGTGGTCGAAGGAGGCTTGAGCCTTGCAGTCTCCTGCACTGGCCCTGCTGTATTCGGCTCGCTCAGCTTCGGCCGGTCCTGCCCGGGTCTGCCGTTTTGGTGTCCGTTTTTGGACCCGACAAAATCACACAGAAGTGAGCGACCGGCCCTACTGCGCTTGATGAGTCTCGCAAATAGGTTTACCGCAGTCCATACCGCCCCGATCAATGTGGCACTCTCACACCAGCCACTGCAGACCGTCAACCCCGAAACTAACCACACCTCACGCCCCACGCCGGTCCGAGCTATTCACCTCTCATCATGGTCAGTCAGTCATGCTCAACCAGCTGTGTCCTCCTTTCCACCCCATTGCATGTCCAGCCAATCACCATACCAGAAATTCATATCACTCAAGAAGTCACCCTCGTCAAAGCACGACAAACGAGCAGCTCGTCCTCAATCGCTCGATGATATCTCATCACCGCCAACCCTCTGAACTACTCGTGCCTCACGCACTCATTCCAAACCCTGCCGGTTTTGTGCATTGCAATACCTGATCCAATAGCTGATCGCTTATCTTGGTGCATGCTGGCAACCACAGGATCCTTCTGGTTCGGTCACCGTTCGCACCCGCAAGTTCCTCACCAACCGCCTCTTGCAACGCAAGCAGATGGTCGTCGACATCATCCACCCAACCCGTCCCAACCTGTCGAAAGATGAGCTCCGCGACAAGTTGGCGGCCTTGTACAAGGCTCCTAAGGAACAGATCATTGTCTTTGGTTTCCGAACACAGTTTGGTGGTGGTAAAAGCACTGGTTTTGCGTTGATCTATGACAACAAGGAGGCATTAAAATTCGAGCCTAAATACCGGCTCATCCGGGTTTGTTTGAATTTCTTTTTAGATGTGACAAACCACGACAGTAATTGACTCATGCCATTGTCTTTAAATAGTTCGGAATGGCCGAGAAGAAACCCGCAGTCGCTCGCAAACTCCGGAAAGAGCGAAAGAACCGTGCCAAGAAGTCAGTCACTCACCTGGTCCCCTGTAATTCATTTAATTCTCACCTTTTTTCACAAGCTGATTATGTATTACATTTTTCAGATTCCGTGGCACACAAAAGAAGAAAGCCGACTCAGCTGCCAAGAAGAAGTAGATGTTATTTTAATTCCTCGCACGCCTTCCTATGCAATTTTGATCTACTTTATGAAGCCGTCAACCTCTTCGCTCCTCTGCTCGGTCTTGTTTCCAACTGTTGGTTATGTTGCAAGTGCGATGTATACCTACACTTACATGCTCGAGGCGCTCTGAACAGCTGTGTTGCATCTTATTCATCACTAGATTCGGCATCGCGAACCGGCCCTGGCACCCGACAGAAATGTCAAAAGCTACTCAACATATGTACTCATGACTTCCTATTGACTATTCACACCAATTGCCAAATCTCCTTTACTTGATCAATTCGGTTCCCAAGATTGCTCCCCTTGTCGCGGCCCCCTTTGACACTTGTGGCCTCGCTAAGCAGCTATAAGCGGTTATTTGAGACTTGACCTCGCTCATACCCTTGCTTCAACTTGAGTGCAATGCTTGATGACCTGATTTAAAGAACCTTGCCATCCTCACCCATGAACTATGCCTACAAACCCTGGTTTGTATTCATAGTTTTGAGGATCTGATGTCAAAGAAAGTCATCTGGCCTTGCTCATTAATTGTCCCTTGTTGTGAGCATGCCCTATGCATTGGCTCACTCCACACTTTGAGTCAAACATGTCTTTAGACCTTCCTGTTGTTCATCAAACACAGATTTTATGGTGTCAATAGTATACTTACTTGAACAGACCTTTGAGAGACCCTGGAAAGCCTCAGTAGGTTTTGGTGCAGTGCTAAGTCTAGTGAGCCCTTCTTGAAGTCATATGGGACTGGCATGACTAACTTTGAGCCTTTTGCCCATGTCAGAACCTTATTCAGGCCCTGATGCAAAGCTCTCTTGCAGGTTGAGAAGAGAGTATTGTGACACAGTGGTGTCATACTTTTTTTTTTAGCACATGAGGGAGCTATTTGGGCAGTAGAGAAAGAATACATCCAGTCCACAGATCCAACTCAGATGTCCGTTCATATAGTGAAGTTTGCACTAGATTACCTAGAAGAAAAGATGTGAGATCTAGTGATCAACATCAAGTTTTCTAGCTTGGCAAGATGTAATATTATCACAGTGTCCACATGAGATGCGCATGGCATCCAATGCTGAGAAAAAATTCCCTGTGTGGCACAAAAGGGGTTTTGTTGGTGTTGTATGTATCAAGTCTCATCCTGGCAAACTTTTTACCATATTGGATATGTTTATTCAAGGTTTCTTTTTCATGTTACCTTTTGAGTAGTGTATATATATTGTAAAGATGTGTTGGGTGGGCACTAATTTTTAGTCACTTGTATATTCTGTTCGATGATTGATGAAGAGTTTGTTTGATCACTGTATCCATTTTTCAATACCAGCCCAAGTTATTTCTAAACACAAATCACATAATAATATCTGATTGATAGCAAACTAAATTTTGCTTAGATTACACCTCAACTGGTAAAAAAAAAATCTCAGTAACTAGATATATATGTGAGAGTGTGGTTTTAAATTAACTAAACTTATTTATTATTTATTGAAAACCATAAATCTTCACCTGGGTAAATCCATAAACTTGGAGCCGAGTGTAATCTAAGCCTTATTGAGCTTGCAAGGTTTCAGCCACAACAAAACCCAGGCATACTTAAGTGGTACCTGGGAAGAAACCTGAGGGAGGTTTCATTATAGTTAAAAAAAAAAAAAATGCAATGTTGAGGGACAAAACCCTAGCTGATGTGGAACAAAACCTTGATCACTCTACTGTATTGAATTAGTCAAGGTGTGAGTCTAGTGACAGACCAGTACCAACCATGTGACTCAATGTCACAAAAAGTGAATGTGACTCAATGCCACAATTCAAAACACTGTGAGAGCCTAGTGAAGTGATCTCATGGGGTGGTGTGGCACTCCCAATGTACTAGGCAAGGGCAGAGCTTGAGAGGGACTTCTCAATTCAACAAAAGAAAAAAACAAAAAAATGCCTCTCTGCTTACACTACAAGACAATCAACAGATGTTTTAACAGGTCTTACCCTGGCTTAAGGAAATTTGATTAAGTTTTGAGGAACTTCTTGATGAATAAAACCTCTACAAAAGTCTAGCCTCAATGGGGATCTAACCCAAGGTCTTAGAACAATTTGTAAT